GAAAAAGAAATAATAATATTTAGGAGCACCATATCTAGGACCTCAAAGCTAAGTCTTCAAAGAGCTCAGATAAGTGACCCTCTCGCCCTCTTTCCTCCTCCGTCCTTGCCTCAGGGGACTACCAGCCACTCGACTCTCCGAAGAACCTGACCCATGAGGACGAGGTGCTCCGCTGGGCTGACGTCCCCGGGGCTGCGTCCTACCTGGTGGAGTGGCAAGCTGACTACGAGGGCGAACTCTCGGAAGGAGGTCTGGAGGAGGTCAACGGCACGAGCTGGCCGACGCAGGACCTTCCTCCGGGGGCGTGGGTGGTGGAGGTCAGGGCGGTGTCGGACACGAGTGCGAGCGAGACAGCGAGCATCACGATACGGAAAGCGGGTCAGATTGCATTCACGCGTCTATGAATACTTGTATATGTTTAAACCCCTTCGTGTGTGAGTTGTCGTTCCGATGTCTTGTTCCCGCGTCTCACCAGTCCCTATCGCTGTCATTCTCTCAGATAATGAAGTCAATGCCCATCGATAATCAGTAAACGCTCATACTAGAAGAATAAACACCTACAGTTAGCGTTTCTTCTACATCTATCTATCCGCACATATCTCTCTATCTACATGCCCTTCACTTAACGAGCTTTTCCACTCCAACCTCCACCAGGAATCGTGGTGGGCCAGCCGACGCAGACGAACAACAGCCACCTGGAGATCAGCTGGTGGGAAGAGCCCGTTCCCTCCTGCCACCAACCCCCCTACGAGTACAGCATCACCCTCTTGATCGACGGGAGGGAGGAGAAGTATAACCACTCGTGCTCGGGATGCAGAGGCGATTGCACGAAGCTGCTGGACGTGGAAGGAGCGAAGGAAAGCGTTGTGGTCAAGGTGGAGAGGGACACGAAATCCATTCAGGTGGAATTGAGAGTCTACGTGTTCAAGGGTGAGTGGCTTCGAGGAGGACCGTGGAGGGAGGCCGTAGTCTGCTCCTTAATTATCATTGCTATTTATTTATTTTTTGATAATTATTATTTTTCTTTTATTAAGAATAGTATTGGTCGTTCCTTTCTCTCACATTTTTATTCGTTTGCATTAATGTCATAAAAAAAAGAAAAAAAAAAAGAAAAAAGAAAAAAAAAAAAAAAAGAAAAAGATAAAAAATATATAATTTAAACAAACTGATTACAGTAATAATAACAGTAATAGCATTGATAAGAAGAACAATAAGAGAACAAAAACATGGAACATAAAAAAGATCAACATATATTAAAAAAAACCATAGGCACTAAGAGGCCAAGATGACAGAAAAGTGAGGACATTTCCAAAGAAAGAGACAATTGGCCTGGCATATCAACGTCAAGTCAGGGCCAAATGAAAGGCCAACACCGCAGGCAGCTTCCTCCTTTGCAGCTGCACTCCTCGCCTGGTAACTTAGGATTATGTTTGAGGATGAAGGATCAGGGGGGGGGGAGGGGGGTAAGTTACAGGGAGTTTGGGGGTAAGATGGAGAACTGTCTAGACGTTGCATCAATAAGTGCTTACTGTAAGTCTCAGCTCAAAGAGTCTGGTCTGCGTTATTCAGGACAAGCGGCACATAATTTAGAATAATTTAGAATAATTTAGAATAATTTAGAATAATTTAGAATAATTTAGAATAATTTAGAATAAGTTAGAATGATTTAGAATAGTCTTCACGGAACGGCGTATGCGCGTTACTTTTACAGAAATTGAGTTCGAAGTTTTTCAACGATTGTAAAATCCCAAGCAACGTCATGATACTACATGTCATATCTCAATATCGGATGAAATGAAATCTCATAAATTTTGAGACAAAACAGGTATTGGTACACAGGTGCCAAATACACACAAAACTCAAAATCAACAAATTGGTGGTTAAGCCGGTTCGTGGCCACAGGGAGCGAATTATTCCAAATAAATGTGCAGTTTGTCATGAATTGTCTTGTCTGGCTAGACTCTTGAGCCGAGACTTAAAGTAGGCAATTGCTGATGCTATTGTGTGTGGTTGTTGATGTCAGCGGACTCTCGTAGCCTCAAATAACACTGCAAAAGACACCTTGTTGATTATGATGACGTTTCAATTGCACGTGACTGATAGAAATGTGAAAAACAAAAAAATATACGAAGATTAATTGTACAATAATAGAATATAAATTAATATTTTAATAGAAATGTAAGAAAAAAATGTCATTAGCATACTTCCAAAGAAAAAAAAGAAAAAGAAAGAAAGAAAAAAAAAAACAGTAAGGGTCCGAGGGCGAACGGGAAGACCCCTGACCCCCTCCCCCATCCCGACGCCCCAATCAGGAAGCCCCCCTCCCCCCTTCCCGACGCCCCAATCAGGAAGCCCCCTGACCCCTCCCCCTCCCCCCGCAGCCGTGCCGAGCTGCGCCAGCGCTTCTCGTCGGGCGGCGAGGAGGTGGCGCTGTCGTGGGCGCCGACGGAGGACGCCAGGCTCTACAACGTGACCCTGTTCGCCGACGCCGACCTCGTCTCCGTCAGGAAGGCCGAGACGATCAGCCGGGAGGCGTGAGTGGCGGGCGGGAGGGGCGTGTGTGTGTGTTTTTTTTTTTTTGTGTGTGTGTTTGTGGGTGTGTGTGTGTTTGTGTGTGTGTTTGTGTGTGTGTGTGTGTGAGTGTGGGTATGTGTGTGTGAGTGTGGGTATGTGTGTGTGTGTTTGTGAGTGTGGGTATGTGTGTGTGTGTTTGTGAGTGTGGGTATGTGTGTGTGTGTGCGTGTGCATGTCCGTATGAAGAATACTTAATGCATTTTTGCTTTTACGTTCCAACGCAACTACTATTGCAACTGTAAAATCGTGACAATGTTATCAGACAAAAAATGGCATCTTAGTCGATAACAATAGCTGCTTATAATGATAACAAATACTAATTTATAAAATAAAAATCAAAATCATATTGACAATCACAATAAAAACTGTAATGCTTCTTGATATATACACAACACTGAGCACGAAATATCCAAACGAGCACACACTATGCTCAGAATTTAATTAAACTAGAAAATATAAAAATCTAAAACAATCCAATCCATTAACCTTATTTTACCTATTTATTCTTAATATCACTTTATTTTTTACTGATTAGATATACCTTGAAGGGGAGTGATCTTGTCGGCAACGTTTTCCAAGTCCAACCCTGCGCAGATGTACACACCTGCGGCGACTCCCAGAGGATCAGGCTGCAGGAGCCGCCGGGTGAGGAAGGAGGAGGAGGAAGGGAGACGAGAGAAGTGGGAAGAGGAGAAAGGGAGGAGGGAAGGGAAAGGAAGGAGATAGAGGAAGGGAAAAAGGGAGGAGCGAGGAGAGGGAAGGGAGGGAGAGGGAGGGAGGGAAAGAAGGAGGAAGGGGAGGGAGGGAGGGAAAGAAGGGAGGGAGAGAGAAGGGAGGGAAAGAAGGGAAGGGGAGGGAAGGAGAGCGACAAGAGAAGTGGGAAGGGGAAAAGGGAGGAGGGAGACTAAGGAAAGGGGAGACAGAAAGAGAAGAGGGAAAGGAAGGGAGGAAGAGAGACATAAGGAAGGGAAGGGAGGAAGGGCGGCAAGAGAAGTGAAAAAGGGGAAAGAGAGGATGGAGACTGATGGAAGGGAAAGGGAGGAAGGAAAGGGGGGGGGGAGAGGGAGGGAAGGGAGGGAGATAAACAGAAGGAAGGGATTAAGGGAGAGAGAAAAGAGGGTCGGATAGGAACACAAGATCACGTGACCAAACGCAAGGGCATTCAGACGTATATAAAAAAAAAGTCACGTGACGTATCCTCAGGGCAAGAAAATTGTGAAAAAGAAAATGGTTTGTTAACGTATTACCCTTAAATAATCCATCGATAACTTATCTTCCTCATAAAAGGGGTATTTATCATCCGAAGTTTTGCAAAATCAATAACTTGCTGAGATAAGCTGATGTGAAAACTATTTTTTTTTTTTTCATTTTAACGCTTGCTTGTAACCCAGACCAAATTTAAGTGCTAATGAATGCAAATCTTCACTGCTTGCACCTTCATAAATTACTTAATATCTGAGGCAAAGTGAAGCTAAGTAAAATCAAATAAATAAATGAATAAAAAAAAAAAAAACACCAGCTAAGTAAAATAAATAAATAAATGAATAATAATAAAAAAAACCACCAAATTCAACAAGAAAAGCAGCTCTTGCCAATTTCAGAAATTTTTATCACCAAGATTACTCTAGTCGGGATTGATGACTGAAGTTTACATATCACACAGTTAACAAAGTACCTTTATAAATACCATTGATCTCTCTCTCTCTTCTCTCACTCACTCTCTCTCTTTCTTTCTTTCTCTCTCCTCTCTCACTCTCTCACTCACTCTCTCTCTCTCTCACTCTAAATCACTCTCTAAATCATTCTCTAAATGAGAGAGAGAGAGAGAGAGAGAGAGATCATGGTATAAATACCTTTATAATGATCAACACTCTCATTAATCTCTCCTCTCCCCCCCCCCCCCGACCGCCCGGAATACGACCTCATTATCATCATCGTCTCAGTCGTAGGCGGGGTCGTGGTCGTCTCCATCATCGGTTCCCTCGTGGCAGTTTTTATGTGAGTTTTGTGTCGGGAAAGGCTGGGTCAGTAGCAACTCGAGGAGGTGTCATGGCCTCTGTTTTGATGATTGTTCAATGAGAATATAATAATTTAAATCATTCTTTTCCATCCTTTCTGAAAACAATCATTTAATATTTAATATACATAATTTAATAATATAATATAATTTAATAATATAATGATATAATTTAATATACAATCATTTAAATCATTATTTTCCAATGTTTTTGAAAATCGAAGAGACCAAAATGATCGACCATATTAAAAAGCATCCGTAACTTCGGTGACGTCATCATAATAAACCCCCACGTGTTTTTTTTCCGAAAATAGATTCAGACGCCATGACACCTCCTCCAGTTGCTGCTGATCTAGCCTTTCCCGTCAATGTCGTCAATGTGAATTTCGTTCTGATTTTTTGGGATATATTTTAAATATTCTGATTTTACCTATTCATTTTATTTTATTTTTTTTTTATTTTGAGAGGCTTTATTTTTTATTCTTTTGACGTCGCTATTTATTCTTTTTTTTTCATTTTATGATTTAATTTTCTTTGTTTGATTTTCTCAATCATCGTAATTTAACTGCACACATTTTTACTAAAATTATACAATAAAGTCTTGCTCAAATAAACAGATGGTCAGGTAAATCATCCAATATTTTAAATTTATTATTGATTTCTTTTTCTTCTTTTCTTTTTTTTTTTTTTAGGAAGAAGAAAAAGACAAAGAAAGAGATGGAAAATTTACGTCGACAGAAAGAACCGCCAGTGCCAGTAAGGAGGGAGAGAAGGAGAGAAGGAGGGAGAGGGAAAGAGAAAGAGAAGAAAGAGAAGAGAAAGAGAGGGAGAGTGATTTAGAGAGATGATTTAGAGAGGTGATTTAGAGAGAGAGAGAGAGAGAGAGAGAGAGAGAGAGAGAGAGAGAGAGAGAGAGGAGAGAGAGAGAGAAAAAAGAAAGAAAGAAAGAAAGAAAGAAAGAGAGAGAGAGAGAAGAGAGAGAGAGAGAGAGAGAGAGAGAGAGAGAGAGAGAGAGAAAGTGAAGAGAGAGAGAGACAGACAGCCAGACAGGCAGAGTGAGAGAGAGAGAGAGAAGAGAGAGAGAGAGAGAGAAGAGAGGAGAGAGAGAGAGAGAGGAGAGAGAGAGAGAGAGAGAGAGAGAGAGAGAGAGAGAGAGAAGAGAAATAGAAATAGAAAGGAGAGAGAGAGAGAGAGAGAGAGAGAGAGAGAGAGAGAGAGGAGAGAGAGAGAGAGAGAGAAATTAGAAATAGAAAGAGAGAGAGAGAGAGAGAGAGAGAGAGAGAGAAAGAAAGAAAGAAAGAAAGAGAAGAGAGAAGAGAGAGAGAGAGAGAGAGAGAGAGAGAGAGAGAAAGAAAGAAAGAAAGAAAGAAAGAGAGAGAGAGAGAGAGAGAGAGAGAGAGAGAGAGAGAGAGGAGAGTGAGAGAGAGAAAGTGAGAGAGAGAGACAGACAGCCAGGACAGGCAGAGAGTGAGAGAGAGAGAGAAATAGAAATAGAAATAGAAATAGAAATAGAAAGAGAGAGAGAGAGAGAGAGAGAGAGAGAGAGAGAGAGAGAGAGAGAGAGAGAGAGAGAGAAGAGAGAGAGAGAGAGAGAGAAGAGAAATGTAAAGATTATATAGGATGAAGAAAAAAAATCATATAAATCCCTAATTCATAGATTCAAGAACCAAAACGTCACAATTCATCTATCTATCCATCCATATATCTATCTGTATACAAATCTATTTATATATCTATCTCTCTATCTATTTATCTCCTCAGCTCTCACTGTCAATTTATCTATCTATCCATCCGTATACAAATCTATATATCTATCTCTCTATCTATTTATCTATCCCTGTATCTCAGCTATCACTGTCAATTTATCTATCTGTCCATTTGCATACAAATATATTTATCTATCTCTCTATCTATTTATCTATCTCTCTATCTATTTATCTATCCTGTCTCTCCTCAGCTCTCACTGTCAATTTATCTATCTATCCATTTGCATACAAATCTATTTATCTATCTCTCTATCTATTTATCTATCACCTTATCTCCTGCAGTTCTCACTGTCAATTCATCTATCTATCCATCCCGTATACAGATCTATTTATATATCTGTCTCTCTATCTATTTATATATCTATCTCTCTATTATTTATCTCCTCAGCTCTCACTGTCCAATTTATCTATCTATCCATCCGTATACAAATCTATTTATCTATCTCTCTATCTATTCATCTATCACTGTCTCTCCTCAGCTCTCACTGTCGATTTATCTATCTGTCCATTTGCATACAAATCTATTCATATATCTATCTCTCTATCTATTTATCTCCTCAGCTCTCACTGTCAATTTATCTATCTATCAATCCGTATACAAATCTATATATCTATCTCTCTATCTATGTGTCTATCCCTGTCTCTCCTCAGTTCTCACTGTCAATTCATCTATCTATCCATCCGTATACAAATCTATTTATCTATCTCTCTATCTATTTATCTCCTCAGCTCTCACTGTCAATTTATCTATCTATCCATCTCCGTATACAAATCTATTTATCTATCTCTCTATCTATTTATCTATCCTTGTCTCTCCTCAGCTCTCACTGTCTATTCATCTATCTATCCATCCGTATACAATCTATTTATTATATCTCTCTTTCTATTTATCTATCTCTCTATCTATTTATCTATCTCTCTATTTATCTATCACTGTCTCTCCTCAGCTCTCACTGTCAATTTATCTATCTATCCATTTGCATACAAATCTACATATATATCTATCTCTCTATCTATTATTCTCCTCAGCTCTCACTGTCAATTTATCTATCTATCCATCCGTATACAAATCTATTTATCTATCTCTCTTCTATTTATCTATCTCTCTATCTATTTATCTATCCCTGTCTCTCCTCAGCTCTCACTGTCTATTTATCTATCTATCCATCCGTATACAAATCTATTTATTTATCTATCTCTCTATCTATTATCTATCACTGTCTCTCCTCAGCTCTCAGTCAATTTATCTATCTATCCTTTTGCATACAAATCTATTTATCTAATCTCTCTATCTATTTATCTATCTCTCTATCTATTTATCTATCTCTCTATCTATTTGTCTATCACTGTCTCTCCTCAGCTCTCACTTTCAATCTATCTATCTATCCATTTGCATACAAATGTATTTATCTATCTCTCTATCTATTATCTATCCCTGTCTCTCCTCAGCTCTCACTGTCATTCATCTATCTATCCATCCGTATAAATCTATTTATCTATCTCTCTATCTATTTATCTCCTCAGCTCTCAACTGTCAATTTATCTATCTATCCATCCGTTCTAT